ATTAAGGGCATTCTTCTAAAAGGAACCCTCAGAGAAACAAATTTAACCATGGTCTGTGGTTAGCATCTCATCTCCAAGGACACAGGAGCTCCTGTAGAGTATGTGCCAAGTGGGGCAACTCCAGAGATCAGACAGACAACACCACCAACACAAGACAACAATTTGGAAAGTTCACAGAAACAAAACAAAAAAAACCACAATCTTTTTATTTTATGGGCATACCAGCAAAAGTCACCTTCAATGAGTACTAGACCACCGAATTTTCAATGTGGAATTTAGAACCATGAAGTCCAAATCTCAATTGCACATGTTACACATGGAAAACAGACCAAGAAGGCCAAAGAAATTTGTTCAAGCTAGGCACTGAGTCTGTCAGTGGCAGTGTTGGGACTAAGCCAGGCTACTGACTCCTGGTCAGTTCTTATTCCTGTAGGCTCCTGATGCCCAGCCACACATAAGGTCCAGAAGAGACAGTGGCTTTGCACACAGGAGGCTGGGCAGAGTTCAGGCATCCTGCCTCCTGTGCAAACTCTTTCATCCAGCTGCGCTGTGGTTAGCCGGCACAACTCTATCATTAACGGCCTGTGCCTTTGACTGGGGCTGGGGGGTAGGGGCACTTGCACGCACAGCCTCCATCAGCTCAAAAGAATCTACTCTTCAGTTTATTCCTCTGCCTGAAGACTGGACTAAGCCCAAGTAAGCTCAAAACAACCAGAAGTGACCCAGCAACTCACCCCCAAAAAAGGTATTTATGTAACAAGTTAGATGAATATTCACATCAGCATTATACCTAACAGCCCAGGTAGCAAGACTGCCATGAGTTAGCTTAATGATCTAAGTGCCTGTCTCACAAGACCCAAGTTCGATCCCTGGTACCAAATGCTGTGCTGGCACCTGGCCACAAAACTGGGTGTGGTGGCGCACACCTAGATCGGACTCATAGTGATTCTTCTGTTTACAGCCTCCTAAATGCTGGGATTATAGGTGCATGGCACCAAGCCCAGTCTCAATGGATGTCTCAGCAGGGGGGGAGGCCCCCCCCCCTCCCGGCACTGCAGGGCATGACAGGGATCAAATCCCCAGCTCCTGTGTCTGCCTGCAGGCTCTTCAACCTGCTGAGCTATCTGTCTGGCCCTCTAAATTGTGTCTTTTAAAGTGTAAAATTTACAGTATGAATTCTAATCATTTAAAAAATTGTAACAAGAACCAATACAGTCTTGTACAGCAATTAACCACTAGGAAGAATGTATGCAGTGTATTATTTGTTGAAACTGTACTTTTGATTTGATTTGAAACTGTCTCACTGCTATATGTTTATCAATAAAACTTTGAAAAGAAAAAAAAAAATAAATGCCATAGTACTCAAAAAAAAAAAAAAAAAAAAAAAAAAAAAAGAACCAATACAGTATGAAAGATATATGAGAGTACAGTTTATCCTCTAAACTGAAATTTCTAGGCTCATGAACTCAGTATACATTTCTCAGGTTCCACCAAAAAACAGGAACATTTTCAAAGCAGTTTCTCACAAAGAGTAAGATATGAGCCTGCTTCTCATTTCAGACCCAGCCAGATCAAATCTACACCCTGTAACTTTATACCATAGCCTACAAAAAGTCCAGGGCAGGAAGAAGACAAGAAAATAAGAACTTCAGTTTACACTAGTTACTATCTCATTGCTCAGGAAAGAAGTCTAGACTTGCAGGTTTAGCAAATACCCACTGTGTTAAGTAGACCTTCAAGGTAGCAGCCCAGCCTTTGGGGAAAAGCCTTTCACTAAGCTGAGAGAGAGAGAGAGAGAGAGAGAGAGAGAGACACACAGAGACAGACAGATAGACACAGAGACAGAGAGACAGACCGACCTTTGAAATGTGTGCCCATAACCCTAACTTTCCAAATAACAAGAAGAAACCCAAAACCCCAGCCTTTTCCCATGGCCACTGAATTCATTAGTTAAGTTCCTCTTTGGTTGTATGACTTGCTTCAGAAACCCATATGCCCTAAATTAGACCTACACACCCTATCCCTAAAGTTGTGAAATAATCTAGGTGTAAGAGTATGGGGACCACTGTGACTTCCATGTAATCAAATACTTGACACAAACCAAACTCACTTTTGTGACTGACTCCATATTGCCTGTTACACTCTGTATTCAATTTGCCTCCCTGCTTTTTTACTACTGCACTAATCATGCACCCTTTTAGCTAGCTTCTGTATACCACACGGTAGATATCACATACTTTCTTTTCTTTTCCCTCTCTCCCTTTCCACCCCCCTCCCCTTTGTTTCCTGCACTTGCCAGGTAGCCACTTATTGTATTAAGCTATCTGCCCAGTCCTTTCTTTTCTTTCTTTCTGTTTTCCAGACAGGGTCTCACTATGTAATCCAGGATGGCCACAAATTCACGAACCTCTTAACTTCCCGAGTGCTAGGATCACAGGTGTGTGCCACCATACAAGGCTTCTTACATTCTCTTGAAATCAGTTAGTTTTCAGCATGGAAACATGGTATAATATCACTAAGTGGCATAATACACACTCACTGTTTTCTAGTGTGCAAAAAGGAAAATCCACACCCTTTTGAACAGACTGTCTAGCATATGAGAACAAGGTGGGTCTCCTAAAAAGAGTCCTGGAGGGGAATAGAAGTCAATCAAACAGAACAATCACAGATTTTAAAAAACGCCTCAAATAGCCACCCTTCTAAAAACATAGTTACTCTTGGCCCCTCTTCAATTTCATCTTGCACCAATCAGTCTCTTACAACCACCCCCCAGCTCCCAGCATGCTTTAACCACTCCAGTCTTCTGCAATGTTTCCCAAATGTATCAAGCTTTCTCCTATATTGACCTTCATAATTTCCCATTTCCTCCACCCAGAACATTCTTTGGCTCTTTCTTGTCAACCTTCAATTCATTATCACTTTCTGAGAAGACTTCTCTGATCATTCCATCTCAAATACAGTAGTTGTGTCACCTAGTCATGCTGATTCACTCCAATTTCACCTGGCTATCTTCATTGTGCTTCACATTGACATTATCTTACTCATGTATTACTTGTTCACTACCTCTCATCTCAGACTAGAAAAGCTTCACAAAGGTAGAGACCTTGACCCTCAAATTCACAACTACACTTCCAATTCCTTGAGAAGAGTAAGCACTCAAAAATTTGCTAATTAGTCAAGCATGGCGATGCATGCCTGCAATCCCATCACTCCAGAGGCTGAGCCAGGACTCCTGTTGAATCTGATGCCAGGCTGGGTATACAGTGAATTCAAGACCAGTCTGAACTACATGGTAAGATCCTGTCTCAAAACACGATTTTGTTTTTTTGCTATTTAAATAAATATGTAGCAGAAATATGTATTGCTAGCTCAATAACCTTTTAACATTTTCTGAAGAGGGCAAGAATTTCCCAGGGCAGTGCTCTGCCACATTATTGAACTTTTCCCCTATGGCAAAAGGGTGTGACTTCCTCTCAAATTCTTACACCATCCTTGTTCTAAATGTGGTAAAGGAAAAAAATGGGTTTCAAAATATTATTTTGGAGTTTTGTTCCACTTATGGTTCAGACTAAAATCTGAGACTGTACAAATCAGGTACGGCAAAGCTGTAAATTAAATTTTTGGTGGTAGTATTGGGGATCAAATTGAAGACCTCATGCTCATTGGCAAATGCTCTACCTCCGAGCTACACTGCCAGCACCAGACTATGAAATCTTTCTCCATTAAATAAAGGTAAGTCAACAGTCAGTTGACACAGGAGAGCCTTTACCAGTCAATAATCAACCCCTTTGGGGAAAACAAACACCAAAGAATTTAAACAAGAATCTTTCTTTGCTTAAGTTCAAATGTCATTTCCTTTTTGGGGGACTTCCTTGTCACTCACTCCTAGGATAAAATCTGCTGAGGAAGCAATTCCCAGGAAGATTCAGGAAATCTCTATGGACCGATTGCAATTTTAGTTATGTCTACTGACAAGCAAAACATGAGTGGAACTTCTAGAAAAAAAGGACAGTCCTTTAAAGATTTACTTTCAAGGCTCTAGACCAGAAGCCAGAAGGTTCTGACCCACCCTTTAAGCACAGGTTTTTTACTTTCATCCTTATCCACACACACTTCATCTTAAGGAATCTCATCATAATGAGCCTTCATCCCTAAGGAGCTGTGTGAGCCAGGAAGGGATAGAAAAAATGTTTTTCAAAACGTAGTTCATGGACCACCTCCTCAGAATCACTGGACTACTCTGAAAAATGAGTAGTCACTAGTAGTAGTCACTCCTTGGCACTGCCCAACCCTACAGAAATCAATCTTTGGGGGTGAGGCTTAAGAATTGGCATTTTATCATGCCTCCGCACGACCCTTTAAGATTCTTAATGCACAGTAAAGTATGAAAATCAGTGGTATAAAAAGACGTTAGGGGAGAAATAAGGAGTTGAGAGAGAAAAAGCAGGGAGTAGGAAAGGACCTGGGGATGGAAAATGGGGTGAGCATACTCTGGGACAGCAGCAATCCTGTGGGGTGAACGATGGAGACAGGAAAGGGTGGAATGACAGAGCCTGGGTTAGGAGGCTGGTCAGAGGTGAGGTCGCATCCAAGTACTGGTCAGAATGATGGGGAGGCGGGGAAAGTACGGTCTGCACGTGAAGAGGAGCGAGGGTGGTTAAGAATTTGGGTGGGGTGTTCTTCAGATGCGTTAGGGCTGGTAGGTGGAAACTGGGAAAATGAAGCTACAGGGGGCGGGGATCGAAGTAGGAATAGGAACCCGCAGAGATAGTGGCCGAGGTCTTCTTCCGAAACGGCGCCCCTCCTCAAACTCCTGGCCTTGACAAGCCTGACTGAGCACGAGGCCAGGAGAAGGATTTTGGGGGAGCCAAGCCCAGTTAGGGATAACCTGAGGGAGGGTCCTGGAGGTGGCTGGGGACCAGGCAAGGGGCGCCGGAAGGTCCTGTGATAGCCAGGCGGTCCCCGCTCCAGCTCCGGCTCCCGGAGTCTCCTTCACTCACCATCGCTGCCGCCATCTTGGATCCACGTGTCGCCGTGATGACGTCAGCGGAAGTGGTGCTTCCCTGGTTACAGACTAACTCCGAGAGGTAGTCGCCCAGCAGTAATTGCTCATATAATTGCAGTCATCAGAGAGGTGAAGGTGATTTAACCTCTCAACAGCTTGGGCTAGATAGTAAGGTCGCGGATTAGACGAAGAGAGAGGACAGTGTAACTACTGGAACCATATTAGCTCCTGGCAGAGAGCTCACCTCCCCTACACCCTCTGCCCTCTGGGTAATGGGGAGTGTGAAACGCGCTTGCTCTTTGGGCGCCATCTTTACTATTGGCAGGACGTCCCGTTGCCAGGGTTACCTGGATCCTTAATTCAGAGGGTAGAGGTTGGCGTCTGGGCTTCTACAGCCGCAGGACTCTAGCAGTAATTTGTAATTATATATTTACTAGGCTATCCTATATCCTTTCTTTCCAATTTTTTTTTTTCCAGAGCCAGGGATTGAACTCCTGCCCTTGCGCTTGCCAAGGAAGCGCTTATTCTACTGAGCCATCTCCCCGGCCCTCCTATATCCTTTCTAATGTGCTGTAGCCTTTTATTTTACCTTGTTCTGCCTTATTGTCATCTGCAAAACTGAGAAGGTATTATACTTTACCTACATCACAGATTTAAGATGAGGATTCAGGGGCTGGTAAGATGGCTCAGTGGTCTAAAGCACCTACTTAGAACAAGCTAAGCTAAACAAAACACAGGGACCACGGTTCAATCCCCAGCACCACATGCTAGCCAGGCCTGCCCCCTGGTGGGCTGAGCTGGCCACACACACACTAAATAAACAAATAAATATTAAAAAAAAAAAAGATGAGGATTCAGTGACATAATACATTGTATATATTTAACAAACAATTATCATTATATGCTTATATATACACTCCTTTAGGCAGAAAACAATCCATTGTTACAAGAATTAATGAAAAGCAGCATACTTAGTGAAGGGAGACTTCTTTGAATGTAGGCTTCACTATGCAAACTAGCTAAGTGTATTACTTGAGGCAAATCACTCAAACTTTCTAAGCCTCAGTTTCCAATATTAGTAAGAAGGGACACAGACAATAGTATGTAAATTAGGAAAGACCTTCAAGTTCATTTGGTCCATGTAAGTCACTGTAAACGATATCAGTGGTATCTTCTCAAACTGTTTAAAAAACTGTTAAAGCAATAATCATGGTTAATGATAATGATCAGCATTTACTAAACCTCTGCTGTGTGCTGTACCATTTTGGATTATGCAAAATGGTTCTTAAAGCTTTTGGTTCTCTAATTCTATCTTTTGGAAGTGGACAGTTGAACTCTAATACTCACGTTTGAGCACTACTGTGGTAGATTTTCTGCAAAGATAGCTCCTCTCCTCCTTGATTGAGCATATTGTTTCTCCTGCCAAAACATAGACTATTCTCCTTTTGAATATGGTGGGACATCATTTCCTTTGACCAATAAATGTGATGCAAGTGACTGCTAGTTTTTGATGTAAACCTTGAAGGACTTGGCAGCTTATACCTCTACCCTCTAAGGTGTAAAGAAGTCTGGATGCCCTACTGAAGAGTCATATAGAGAGACACTGATAGCCAGTCAGTGCTCCAAGATATTCTAGGAACTCCAGCTGAGCATTACATATGAGTGATATCATCTTGGACATTCCAACCCCAGCTGAGCTATCAACAAAATAGAGCCACAGGAATGACCTCATCAATATTATGTGGAACAAAAATCTTTCCAGCTGAGCCTAACTGTTTAAGGTTTGGGAATGGTTCATTATACGGTAATAGATAACTGAAACATACCCATAAACTTTTTTTTTTTAAATTTTTATTTATTTATTTGAGAGAGAGAGAGAGAGAGAGAGAGAGAGAGAGAGAGAGAGAGAGAGAGAGAGAGAGAGAGAGAGAGAGAGGCCAGCTCAGCCCACCAGGGGGCAGGGCTGGCTGGCATGTGGTGCTGGGGGATTGAACCGCGGTCTCTGATGCTTTTGCTAAGCTTGTTCTAAGTAGGTGCTTTAGACCACTGAGCCATCTCTCCAGCCCCATAAACTTTTTTTTTTTGAGAGTGCCTTGCTATTTAATTCAGGCTGGCCTTGAAACTCATTATGTAGTCCAGGCTAGCCTCTAATATGGCAGTCCTTCTGCCTCAGTTTCCTGAATGCTGGAATTACAGGCATGCCCTACCATGCCCAGTGATACCCATGAACTCTTTTGACCTGTACAACCATACTAAAGAGTAGCAGGTCAGATGTTGTGTGCCCAAAGATAAAGCTTGAATGACACGAAAGGTTTGCCAGTCTCACATTTAAAGCCAGGTTGCTGATTTACAACCAGTTCTGCTGGAAATTGGGTGCTGGATGTATCTTACCATTTCTGGATCCCTGAAGATAAAGGACAAATGAAGAACAAAGCTGCATAAATAGTATATTATTTCTCAATACTTCCATTTTTCCTTCTCATGTTTCATATTTTCCCCAATGGGCTTCCATGTGCCAGTGTCTATCTGACATAAGCGAAAATCCTCTCCTTTTTTTCTTGTCTTGTCTTGTCTTGTCTTGCCTTGTCTTGTCTTGTCTTGTCTTGTCTTGTCTTGTCTGCCTGCCTGCCTGCCTGCCTGCCTGTCTTTTTAAGACAGAGTTTTACTATACAGTTCATGCTGGCCTTGAACTCATTTTGTAGCCCAACCTGGCCTCGAACTCACTGAAATCCTCCTATCTGAGCCTCCTAAGTGCTAGGATTACAGGCATGAGCCACCATGCCTGTCCAGCATGTTTCATTTAAAAGTTTTTTTTTTAAATGTGGTAAAATGTATATTTACCACTTTAATCATTTTTAAATGCATGATGGAAGCACTTAAATGGTCAGCTACTGAACATCTCTTCATAGCTCTGTGCTCAGCAGCATTGCTTTGATAGCTGGGCCAGCTATCCACAAAGCTCTGTGGCAGAGTGCACAAGAACGCGCTCATACTTGCTGCCGTAAATAATGTTTCAAGGAAATTTTCTTCTAGTGCTGGGGATTGAAATTATGCTAGGCATCAATCCCCGGTTCCACCAAAAAAAAAAAAAAAAAAAAAAAAAAAAAAAGAAAGAAAGAAAGAAAAGAAAAGAAATTATGCTAGGCAAGTGCTCCTCTGAGCTACACTCTCAGCTCCCAATTTCTCTTAAAAGCAGAAGTAGAGTCATGACATGCCAGTTAGTGCTAAGATGTCTCT